ACCATGCTGTCTGAATCTTCCACGCGTGGCTCTGCAGCCTCAGGCTCCTCCACAACAACAGCTTCACCTCCCTCCCTGTCTTTTTCCATCTTTTCTTTCACCTCTTTGAGGACCTTCTCATATTTTTCATTTCCTGAAGGAAGAAAACATCCACAAATAGAAGCATGGGCACGTTGTCATTCCCAATTCCCTGGGATTCCCAAATCCCTGACTCTGGCCTCTCCCAGAAACATGCTCCTGGAGCAATGCATGGAAAATGGATGCTGCTGCTCCTCTCTGAATCCTGATGTTCACTCCCACCCATGACATGGGGGAAAAACCAGAGGTCCTTCCCAGGGAGCAGCCAAGCAGTGCTCACCTTTGATGCTTCTTGGTAGGTCCAAGCAGATCCTAGGAAAGCTCCCCTCTCCTTTCAGGGAGATTTCTGCTGGTTCCAGGTGACCCACTTGGATCTGGAAAGTCCTGCAGAAGACTCCAGGCACTCCTGGCAGGTAATAGACTTTCAGGACTTGCTCCATGCCAGGTCCAAGGTAACCCTGCAGGGCACAGGAGAAGAGGGAAGGGAATGCACCAAGGAGGGATTGGTGGAGGGATGGCTCAGAGACTGAGAAGGTAGGTTCCCATAGGTAAGAAAACGTCACCCAATGTCCCCTTCCAGCTTTCCTGTATCTAAAAGCTGAAGTTTCCTACACCAGGATGCAGTATGTCCTTCAGAGGGCTTCTAGGGATGCATTCTCCCAGGACAGACCTCCAGACCTGCCCCCAGACAAAGCTCTTCTCCCAACTGTGGTCACCCTCTGCTAGCAAGAGACAGACTGAACCAAGACAAGCTCTTTTACCAGCTGCTCTGGAAGCTGAGTGAAGTGCCCACGTCCTCAGCAGGGCCATCAGCTCCTTTCACAGCACACCAGTGGTCCCCAGGCTGGTGTTGAGGGGCCTGACCCCTTATTGACTGACCCCAGCTCTGGGTGCCAGGACCCAGTTGCAGCTTTCCTCAGCTCACCCACTGCACGTGGGGCTGGACCCTCTGCTCTCCACGCTGCAGGAGAAGCTGCTGAGAAGGACAGATCCTGACACTTGATGCCCTGATGAGCTGTTCTAGCAAATGACAGGACTGCAGCCACAGTGAGCCCTGCCAAGCTGGTGCAGCATGTCCAAGCAGAGCTGTGCCTTCAGAAGCTCACAGGAAGAGGGCATCAGTGTGTCATCCCTCGCAGGAGACAGGCAGGAGGAAAGGTGAAAGCCATTTGGCTTCCTCACCCCATGGCAAAAAGGGACACAAGTGGGAATGCTGCTCCATCTCCAAGACATCCATGTGAGACTGAGCAGCTGGGATCATGGGCTGGTTTTGGTGGGAAGGCAGTGGTGGAGTCCCCATCCCTGGAGGGGTTTCCAAGTTTCCAAGCTGTGAAGATGTGTTGCTGAAGGACATGGGTTAGTGGGGACCTGGCAGTGCTGGGGGAACGGTTGGACCTTAAAGATCTCTTCCAACCAAAACAATTCTAGGACTCTGTGACCATCAGAAGAACCTGCCCTGTCCTACTCCAGCACAATCAGAGCACACAGTGTCTGGGTTCAGAGACACCGAAGGCCCCATGCCCACTGTCTAACAGCAGGGCCACCCACCAGAAAGGCCATTTCAGGCCATCCATTAGGACCACGCTTGGTCAACCTTCTCTGCCCCCTACCTTACACCCCTGGCTGCTTTTGTGTCTTTTTTTCTTTCTTATTCTTTGTTTTTCTTCCCCCTTCGCTCCCACCCCCGGGCAGCCTGACACAGGGCCAAGGGTTAATGCCTTGTGGTCCCTCTGTCCTCACCTTGCTGGGCACGACCAGGGGCACGCCAGGCTGAGGGCTCTCCATGGTGGCCACACTGGGGCTGGGGACCACGTAGGTGAATGCCACCTTGCCTCTGTTCTGCAGGGTGACCTCTGCTTCGGTGACTTCATTAAAGAGCTGGAGAAGGGACAGAGGAGTGGGAAGTTACCTGACACTGGGAATGTCCTTCTGAGAGTCAATGACCACAATGCAGGAGAGAAGTGGAGGAGATACAGGCACTTGAGACTCCCAGGTTGACCTGGGGAAGTGGCAGCCACGGGGGACCTCTTAGGGACAGATATTGATGGCAACATGCAGAGGGCCAATGGCAAGCAGGCAAAGATCAGGAATAAATCAGAGGATACAAGTTCTCTGCACTTTAAGGTGTCAGCAAACATCTGGCTGGAACAAAGGAGGTGGCATCAAGACATTGCAGAAGAAAAGGTGCCTGCATACAAGTATTGGCAGAGCTTGCAGCGGCAACAAAAGGGGAGACAGTGCAACACCTCCGGGGCCAACAGCTGGAAACATCTGGGGGGGTTAATTGAAAAGAAGTGGGTATTGTTTGGGGACATTCTCTCCAGCTGCAGTGACTGGGAAGCCCAAGTTGACTTCTTCCCTGCTTTATTTTGGTGATGCATCAAGAGCATCTCCTTGGGCCTCAGGTTAAGATGGACCTCTTGAGGATGTGTTCCTCTGCAGATCACTGCTGGGATCCTGCTTGCCCCAGGAGACACCTCAAAGAGGAGGAATTCCCTACTTTGAATGTGAAGATGACCACTAAACCCCAATTTGAATGCAGGACATCACCCAAAGGTTCTACTTCCAAGCTACAGAGCCACCAAAGTAGCTGTGGAGAGAGCCCTTAGGCAGGCAGAAACCTGTCAGTGATGGTTTCAAGTCAAGGACCTCTGGCCAAGAGAAGCGTGGGGCACCTGCAGCCCGCAGTCAATCTCCATGTTGTCCACGAAGTAGCTGATGAGCGAAGCCTCCCCCCTGAGCTCCAGCTGGTAGGTGGGACCTCCTTCAACCCTGCACAGCGCCGCGACCCGGGCGACGACGTTGGCGTGGCCGAAGAAGGTGAAGGTGACCTGCTGGCTCTCACCCGGCTGCAGCACGCCGTGGAGAGGCAGGACGTCAAAAACCTGGAGGCAAGGGAGGAGAGGTCAAGGTGCTGAGTGTGGAAACCCCTGCAGAAGAGAAGCCGTGGCCTGTGGCAAAGCACAGACAGGGCTCAGGGGGCTTCTTCCTCAAACCATCATCTCCATCCTGCATCCACTTAGCAGTGGAGGGACCAGGGGAAAAATCTTCTCCCACACTCACTAATTAATGTATTAATTAATACAATGCATGAAAGTAATTTGGGATGTCTCCTGGCAGACAGCAATTCTCTCTGCTGCAGAACTCTAAAATCCACCTTGGAGTGCCTTCAGAGAAACACCAGACCTGGAGGTGAGAGCCCCTGGAGCTGGGGGAAGACTTCAGCCCAGCTCATCCAGCTCCTGCTGCTCTCTTGAGATGCTCCTGCAGAAACTTCCTGTCCACCACCTGACCAGCTCACAAGATGAACAATATGTGGAGTGTGGCCAGAAGGTTGAGGGATGTTCTCCTCCCGCTCTGCTCTGCCCTAGTGAGGCCACCTCTGGAGTACTGACGTCCTCCACAGCTGCTGCATGGGTAACAGCCTTGGTCAACCCTACAAGATGTCCCCCAGTTGCTCCAGCTGTGCTGTGAGGTGTCCCTGGAGGGATGTGAGGCCACTCTGCCAGCAGCACCAAGGGCCGCTGGTGGAAGTCATGGCTACGTGACCGCTTGCCACACTGAGAACATGGAAGTGAGCCAGATTCCCACTTACCTCCTCCACTCCCAAGGCAAGGGGCTCTGTCTCCACAAACTGCATCAACTCCTTGATCTCTAATGGGCTTTGAGTCTCTGCAGCACCTTCCAGCTCCACAGCCCCTTCCAGCTCCATAGCACTGGATAGTGGCACCTGGAAAACAAGCACCACAGTCTGCAGAAAGCAGTTGGCTGGTCTGGTTGTGACCACTCTGCTGCAGGCTCCACCACCTCACCAAGCCAGGAGCAGCTCAGATCAGACCTGGGTGCCAATCAAGCATGGGTCTGTCCAAGCCATCAGCTAAGTGTGGGTCCAAGCCCACCCACAGATGGGACATGGGCTCCATCTGCACTCCCTACACTCGAGCTGGTGTGAGGAAGCTAGATGCACACAGCACTCAGTCCTGGCAGAGACCTCAAGGACATTTTGCACCCTTGTGCCAGCCCAAGTTTGCTCACTCCTGCCCAAGGAACACATTAAGAAACCCAAGGCTGGACAGGTTATGCTCTCCATGACAAAACCAGGAACACAGCTACAATGCAGAAGTATCCAAACCAGGAAAATAAGGACTTGGGAAGTGCACAACTATCCAGTTTTAGATGGTGTTGAGGTTTCATCTCATGCTCTCGTCAGAGGTGGAGAGCTGAGGATCTTCACCAGGTCATTCTTGAATAACACTTTCCTGAAGAAGGCAGCCGATATGTCTTCTTGTCTTGAAGCAGCAGAGGTGCCATCTTTCACAGGGAACCTCATCCCTGGGCTTCTGAACCCTATTTATAGGTGGGGGCTTTGTGATTGCTCTTGAGGTTTAAGAGTACCTACTTCTTCAGGAATGTGAAGTGCCTTGTGCTGGGGCCTTCACATCAGCAGAATCTGTACAAATATTAACAGGACAACCTTAGACCTAACCAGAGCCTACACCACTAGATGAAGCACTGGGGAGGGGCTGAGCCTTCTCCTTGTTATCTCCACATTTTCAAACCAATCACAGCTTTGCCAAGCACATACTCCCAAAGATGTTGACCCACATCTCTCCCAGGCCTATGGTGGCCCACCTCCTCAGGGAGGTTATAAGGACATTGCCTTGATGCAACAACACAAGGTCTCCCCTGAGCCTCCTTTGCTCCAGGCTCAGCACCCCCAGGTCCCTCAGCTGCTCCACACCACACCTGGGCTCTAGACCCTTCCCAAGTAGCTTTGTTGCCCTTCTCTGGCCACTCTCCAGCCCCTCACGGCCCTTCTTGGAGATAGGGACCCAAAACTGAACCCAGGATTCGAGGGACCCTGCCCTAGTCCTGCTGGCTGCACTAGTGCTGAGCCAAGCCGGGATGCTGGTGGCCTTCTTGGCCACCTGGGCACACACACTGGCTCATCTTCATCCAGCCACCAACCAACCCCCCAGGTCCTTTCCCTCTGGCACTTTCCAGCCACTCTGCCCCAGCCTGGAGTGCTACATGGGTTTCTTCAGCCACCCTATTCTTCAGGTCTACAGGGTGTAACTTCTGATTCAGAAAACTGTGCAGAGTTACAACATTCAAACAACTGATATTTGGCTGTGAGTAGGTGTAACCCTTCTTCTTGAACTTAATGCCAACACTGGTGCTTTCAGAACCTCACAGGCTCTCTTACATCTTTTTATTACCACATGATCAGCCTCTGTCCCACACAATGCAGTTCCCATCAGCACCAAGGTCAAGCTCCAAAGCACTGAGGTTCAGCTGGAAGGTCAGCAGACCTAAGGCCATTTTCCATGCTTGGGAGAAGAGACAGAGGCTTTACAAAGTCTCGTTTTGCAGAAGACAGTTCTGTGGCCATCACTGCAATACTGGGTCTTTGGGGAAGGTAGAGATGTGAGAACATGTGGTTCAGTCTGGGCTTGAGAAGGTGGTACAAGGAGATCAGTACCTGGCACAGCTTGATGCAGGAAGAAAACTGGAAGCCCTCACACCACAATGAAGATAAGAACCTCATCTTACATGGTAAAAAGTCCAAGCCAAAACAATCCCAAACTCCACGCAGGATCTGAAGGAGCTTCTCCAAGCAAAACTAACCCACCTCTCCCTCTCCAAAAGCCCTGGATCCAGCCACAGGCCCTGACGCCCAGCTCACCCTCAGGGCACATGACACCAGGGCAGCAAAACAGGCTTTCTGGTAGCAAACAAATCTACCTTGGCTTCCAGGGAGTCATCTGCATCTGCTGTCTCTTGGGCAGGATCCCCTGCTGCTCCCAAGGCTTCAGCTGGCTCCTCCACACCTCTATCCTTGGAGCTGCTCTCTGCAGACACTGAGCATTCTGAGCTGGCTCCATCCTCCTCCGGTGGTTGGGTTTTGATGAAAAATTTAGGTGTTGGAGGACTGAACCTGGAAAATAGCATCACCTTGATCACAGCCCTGCAATGGTGGGAAGGAAGCCTGAAGAGGCAGTTCCTCAGCAGGGTGCAGCCCCTGGTGGCATGAGCTCAGGAATGGGACTGATCCAGCGGCACAGAAACCAGGATGGAGCAGGACAGCACTTGGGTCTGCCCAGGGATGACTCTGGTTTAGTGATGGTGCAGGCAGCTGGTTGTGAGGGGAAATGGGAGAGGACAGGAGAGAGGTGGATGTCTTCTGGAGAGGTGAAAAGTGCAGAGGGAAGGAGAAGAGACACTAGCTGTGCAAAGAGTTGACACTGAGACACAAAGGGGCAGATCCAGACAGCAATGAGCTAGTGCAGACCCAGCATAGGATCCCAGACTGGCTTGGGTTGGAAGGGACCTTCAAAGGCCATCTAGTGCAACCCCCTGCAGGGAGCAGGGACATCCCCAACTAGAGCAGGTTGCTCAGAGCCCTGGCCAACCTCACCTGGAATGGTTCCAGGGATGGGGCATCCACCACCTCTTTGGGCAGCCTGGGCCAGGGGCTCACCACCTTCAGTGTCAAACATTTCTTGTGCTGAGAGGCCCCCAGAAGGTCTCCCCAGCTGCAGCCTTCTCCTCTGCAGCAGCCCAAGCCCAACTCTCTCCTGCTGGGCTCCCAGCAGAGGGGTTCCCCCCTCGGGTCATTGCTGGGGCTCCTCTGGCCCTGCTCCAGCAGGTCCCTGTCTCTGCTGTGCTGAGGACTCCAGAGCTGCCCCAGCACTGCAGGAGGGTCTCCCCAGAGTGGGGCAGAGGGGCAGGATGCCCTCCATGCCCTGCTGCCCACGCTGCTGGGGGAGACCCCAGGCTGCAGGTTGGTATGAGCATGCAGCAATGCCCATGGTTTCTCCAAGTGGGATCAGGCTGTGCCTGAATCCCAACAGCACTCAGCACCATCCAGGGGCACTCATGGAGCCCACTGTGGGACACTCTCACACACACAAGGCAACATGGAAAGACTCATCCAGCAGCTCCAGGCAGAGTCCCAGTTCAGCAGCCCACAGATCCCTGAGGAGCTCCAGAGCAGCAGCAATTAGCCCTTGAGGAGAAAAATGGAGTTGGTGAGCTTTAATCACTCCACAGAAGACATCAGGGACGAGCCTCAGCTCCTCCTACGTGGTTTAACAGTTTCACCCATTCCCAGGTAACTCACATGCTGCTCCCTGTTTCAAATCACCATGTGGATGGACACACTGGAACCGTGTCTGCCCACCACCGTGACTCGTTCCAAGTGCTCCCCCCATAAGCAAAAAAGGTTGATGCTTTCACAGCAACCTGAATGCTGGGTTCCCAGCTGGAGACTTGATGCCTTCAGTCATGGGGTCCTAAATGAATCATGGAAAGATATTGGTTGGAAGAGACCTTTGGGAGCATCAAGTCCAACTGTTAACCCTGCACTGCCAGGTCCCCACTGGCCCATGTCCCTCAGCACCACATCTCCACGGCTTGAAAACCCCTCCAGGGATGGGGACTCCACCACTGCCCTGGGCAGCCTGGCACAGCCCTGGACAACCATCAAGGGCAAGAAGTTGTTCCTCAGCTCCAACCTCAACCTCCTCTGGTACAACTTGAGGCTGTTTCCTCTTGGCCTATTGCTCGTTCCTTCGGAGAAGAGCCTGAGCCCCACCTGGCTCCAGCCTCACGTCTGGGAGCTGTGGAGAGCCAGAAGGTCTCCCCTGAGCCTCCTTGGCTCCAGGCTCAGCACCCCCAGCTCCCTCAGCTGCTCCTCACCACACTTGGCCTCTAGATCCTTCCCCAGCAGCTTCGTTGCTCTTCTCTGGCCACGCTCCATCCCCTCAAGGTCCTTCTGGGAGTGAGGGACCAAAAACTGACCCCAGGATTTGAGGTGCCAAGACCAGAGGGATGATCTCTTCCCATGTACCCAGCACAGGTCACATACACTGAGCTGCACAGAGAGAGATTATACATCACAATATAGAGTTCATATGCTTCCTTCAGTGGTGCATATGATGACTCCAGTATCTATAAGAAGAAGCACTGGAAAATTGTGATATGAGACAGAAGAGAGAAGCCCAGCTTATCTATCTATCTATGCTTAGCTTTATTTCTTATTATTAAGGCAAGTTTTCACTTCTGGAATAGAGGCTCTGCTCTTCACATCTCCCAAGAGGTCCTACCTGATTCGTCCTTCCCACAAGCACACCTAAGAACAAGGCTTGGCCCAGGTGAGCTCCTTCCCAGCCCTTCCTCTGCTTGCTACTTGGATCCCAAGTGGAACCCCAAAGATGACCTTGAATGACCTGAAGGAGACAAAGGCATCCACTTGACCCTGCAGAGCATCACCCATCTCCAGTCCCATCTGCACAACCTTCATTCTTCTCAGCCAAGGCACCTCTAGTACCTGTTGGGGTGCACTGATGGGCAACCAAAGTTCTCAACACCTCCAGCAGCTGCTAACCTGGGCATCTACCTACGGATGAAACAAATTCAACTCAGCTACAATAACGGTGCCTCTGTGCAGCCTGCAGCTGGACACTACCTGTCCTTGATGACAAGGGACACCCCTGTAGTGTACAGGTACAATATCCAAGGCCAGGAGCACCTCAAAGCCCTCCAGCTACACACCAGTTCAGCGCATGGGCTTGGTTGTCCCAGAACCTCAAGCTGTGATCCATACTAGCAAGGAAATGAAAGCACTGATCTTAAATCCACTTCTGATAAATCCTGTGGGTCAGTAACAACTCCTGAGGAGAGGCAAACCCTGAGATGGAAAACACATCATCATTTATTCAATTACCT